TCTCTTCCCCGTGCATGCACGCTGGTGTCCTCGTGGGTCCAGGAGGGGTGCGTAGAGGGACTCCCGTGCCGCCGAGCTGCCGAGCTGCCGAACCCGCAGTCCGGACGAGAACCGCACCCGTTACACGGCCGTCGGGCAAGGATGCCAGGCCGTTTCAAGCGCCCAAGCGCCGTGGGCAGAGAGCAGGATGAAGCCGCTGCCCCTCGCGGAGAAGGGAATGCGAGCGGCCGCCGGACTCCGCCCCTTACCTGGACCCTTCCTTCCTTCCTGACCACTGCCCTTCCCTTCACGAACCCTGCAGCACAACGAGGACACCAGATCCTCTGTTTATTTTGGACACTTGATTCCCTTTTTTCTGGACACTGTTTATTTTCTGTTAATAAAAGCCTCTCCAAGGCCTGATGCCACACCCACTGTGTCTGTCGTTTGCTCCTCCCGCGACAACACCCGTTAACGTAAACTATGCCAGAGCGCGTACAAACCTCATGCACCGGAATTCGTGCTCGTGCCCAAAAACAGTTGGACATAGTGGTGTATTAGAGGTAAAAAATTATATAAATACTGTTCGGTTTCTTGCACAAACCGATCGTTTTGTGTCTTAGGACATTAATGTGTCGTCACGAGCCGCAGGGTTTAATTTGGATTTGTCTGTGCATGTTTTTTTTTTTACACTCATAGATTTTGTTATGCCATGCATTATGCGACTGATAGACTGCAACGGTTGGACTTAAAAATCATCAAATGTGTTCTACTTAAGAAACAAAGTCACCTACATCTTGGATGCCCTGGGGGTAAGCAGATAAAGATACATTTTTCATTTTTGGGTGAACTATCCCTTTAATTGATGGTGTAACTGATTTTTAAAGGGGTCATATGATGTTGCTAAAAAGAACATTATTTTGTGTATTTGGTGTAATGAAATGTGTTTATGCAGTTTAAGGTTAAAACGCGTCGATTTTTACAAAGCTCATCGGTCTGAAAAGCTAGGTGTGCTCTGATTGGCCAGCTATCCAGTACATTGTGATTGGCCGAATACCTCAAGCGTGTGACGGAATTGTTACGCCCCTTGCCATATTGTGATGCCTTGTCCCAGCCGAAGCGATGAGATAGGAAAAGCCGATCCGGCGATCACAGCGCGTAGTTGATGTATTTCCTCAGCGACCAGCATGGATCAGCTCCAGGCATGACGAAGCCGATATAGTCCTCTTGTTGGAAGGCCAAACAAAGTAGTTTCGCTTTCACAATGAAACACACAGTGCCTTCACGACATGACGGTGGCAGCAACAACAATACTACAGCAAGAATAAAAGTTATGCCGCCTTTCTTTGCGTGAACGTTTGGGTGGCATTTTGCAAATCTTCCCACATCGTGACGTAGACATGTGGGAGCGTATTAGAATGAGCCGTTTTATGTAGGCGTGGTTGACTCTTAACTTTTATAAAGAATATCTCTTTGGATTTGAGACTTTAGTCATTGCAACTTTACAGATCTTCTTTATGCACCAAGAGCTTGTAACACTCCAAAGAGAAAGGAAAAATTTTAATCGCATCATATGACCCCTTTAAAGGTGCACTGCGTAACTGTTATTAAACAAAACTGCATAAAACTTGCGGAAGAACAATTTAGCCTGGAGCTACTTCTCTGTTTACGGATATGACGAGTCACGCAGGTACTGGGCTACTCCGCAGTGGATGTTGTCCCGACAGGTCTAAAATAGTCTGAATATAAACACTTCTTATAATGATTCAGGATAAGACTAATATATATATGTATATATTTGTATCGTAACGGGGTGAAGAATCACACGACAATAAATCTCAATCTATACCCTGGAGGGTGGATTTATTGGGGTGAGGGGTGCTCGTGAGAAAGGTCCAGGTAGGTGCTCCGGTGCTGGGAGTGCTCTCTTCCGTCTTCCCAGTGCAGAGGGTCCGTGCAGTGCTCCTGTGGGGCTGGTCGATCACACGCTGCTTTCTGTGGGGAAAATGAGAGGGTGAGTTAGTGCTCAGTCTC